GACCAATGTGCACTATGTACACCCTAGGAGTTTAGATGTAAAAAAAATCCACCTAATGTCCATAAATTATTAACAGACTTAATATGTGTACCACTACAAAATATTTTATATGTCTACCCTATTTACATTTTAGCACACTTCTGTATACTGTACTGAATGTCATATACTCCACAGCACTCTACTCTATACCCTATTATAAGTTATATATTCCATAGCCGTCCATTCTGTACATCATATGCTCCCCCACCCCTCTCAGGTGGCTGCCTATGCAGCCTTACACTAGCATTGGCCCTGGTCCCATGTTACCCCTTAGGTGAGCTGATTAGCATTGCCACCTTTTCTTCACGTGAAACCCAAACACTCTAAAGCCAATTGTTTTCTTGGAGAATATGCAGGTGAGAGAGAGGAGAGGGAGGAGAGGCAGCCAGGAGAGAGGAGAGACAGCCAGGAGAGAGAGAGAGGAGAGACAGCCAGGAGAGAGAGGGAGGAGAGGCAGCCAGGAGAGAGGAGAGACAGCCAGGAGAGAGAGAGAGAGGAGAGACGGCCAGGAGAGAGAGAGAGAGAGGAGAGACAGCCAGGAGAGAGGAGAGACAGGCAGTAGAGAGAGAAAGAGAGAGAGAAGAGACAGCCAGGAGAGAGAGAGAGAGAAGAGACAGCCAGGAGAGAGAGAGAGAGGATAGACAGCCAGGAGAGAGAGGGAGGATAGACAGCCAGGAGAAAGAGGGAGGAGAGGCAGCCAGGAGAAAGAGGGAGGAGAGGCAGCCAGGAGAGAGGAGAGACAACCAGGAGAGAGGAGAGACAACCAGGAGAGAGAGGTGGAGAGACAGCCAGGAGAGAGAGGAGATACAGCCAGTAGAGAGAGGGAGGAGAGGCAGCCAGTAGAGAGAGGGGGAGAGATAGCCAGGAGAGAGAGTGGAGAGACAGCAAGGGGAGGGAGAGACAGCCAGGAGAGAAGAATTAGAGCGGAGACTGCGAGCCCGGCCTTCTCCCCCAACATCAGTACCTGACCTCACAAATGGTCCAACATTCCCATAGACACACTCCTAAACCTTGTGGACGCCTTCCCAGAAGAGTTGAAGCTGTTATAGCGGCAAAAGGCGGCCAACCCAATACTGAACCCTACAGACTAAGACAGCGATGCCATTAAAGTTCATGTGCGTGTAAAGGCCTCCCAATACTTTTGGCAATATAGTCTATGTTGTGTTCCCATCCACAAACCGCACCCAATTCATGTGTACAAAATATTTATTTATTTTCTAGTTGTTTGTTAGGAGCAGATCATACAGTAAATAGAACTCTACGGGAAGCTTCCATCACTTAGAACAGTATAGACATGGTTAATTATGATAGCCATTGCTCCCAGCCCCCTCCCTAAAGGTGCCCATACACCTTACAACCATCGCAAGACTTTTGTCTTGCGATGGTTGTAAGCTAATTAAAAGCTTGTACGATCTGCCCATCTTGGACAGGCAGATCGTACTTGCGATCATCGAAAGCCCACCCCGCTGTGGGGCGGGCTTCTGATGATCGCAATGCTGAACGGGCAGTGTGCGCGTTGGCACACCGGCCTGTTCCGCAGTTGTCTTACGAGCACGCCACTAACCCACCGGGAATCGTATGATTCTCGGCGGGTTTTCTAGCATGCTCCTTCGACAAAAGACGTGCGACCGTACAGTAAAAACGGTTGCACGCCTTCCATACACCTTGCGATTATCGTACGATCGTGGGATTTCCCGCGATTATCGTACGATAATCGCAAGGTGTATGGGCACCTTAACATTACAAACAATAGGAAAATTTAAGAATATCCAGCAAGTAAAAAGGTGAGCAGAAATGTTTATTGTTTAATAAGTTGTGTCATGTGCTCAGGAACATGTAACATATAAATTAGGATTTAATTCCAATGTGGTACAATGCTCTTGTAAGGCACAGAGACCAATCCAATTACTTTTTTTAAATCAAACAGGTGGGAATTGGAATTAAACTTTGCCCCAGGAATGTTGATGAACTGTGTGACGGAGCTGGAAGAAAGGGATGACAGGGGGTACAGCCTGGTCCCTCCTTGCTAGGACTGTCACCCTCTGTCAGGGACACTCAGTACTCTCCGGGTGTGATATTACTTACAGGTCTGAGGCCCTTCTCATCCTCAACAGATAAGGAAAACACAGCTCAGGATGGGACATGTTTCTTCAGCGGGCCAGTGGAGGAGGGGGGAGGAACAGACCCGAGGACGTTCATCCCGTGCAGTGTACCGTTCACCGGCTACACTGCCATCACTTTAACCCTTTGCTGCAGAGCTCTCCTGCTCAAGGGGGAAGCTGCATTTAACACCTCTGCAGTAATGCCCGCTCATTCCGGCGCCCAGGGAGGGACAAGTGTCCCCCTTCCCACACCCCACCAACTGGCTGCACTTGTTCTGTCTGCCGCTCGGGGTGAAAGGGACAGCTGTAGTAGATCACTGTAAACTATGGGGCCCAAAACAGCTGCCCCTTTTGCCTTACGATAAAGATAGGTAGCCCTGAAGCCGCCGTCAGTCTGCTGCAGCCGCCCTGTTTCCCTACCTCATGCCGCAGGGATGGCTCTCTCCTCCTGCTCTCGGTGGTGCTGCTGCTGCTGGGACTGCTCTGCAATAAACCCAGGCTGGCGTGGGGACGGAACGCAGTCCCAGCATGAATATGTTAGGCGTGGAGACCCGGCGGGGGAGGGCTCTGAACCCCCAGGAGAAGGTTCCCTTTTCCAGTGCTGCCAAGCCCTGCTGTAGTCTAGGCGAGCAAGGCAGCCGCGAGGCCCCTGTGAACGCGAGGCCTTAGGTGACCGCCTAACTCGCCTAATTAGAGAGCAGCCTCTGATCATCACTACAAGTATGGTCATATTCTAAGACACAGGTTATTTCTACTGCTAGGAAATTGTGGAACTTCAGAACTGTATTGCTTTCTTTTACACTTTTTCTAGAAATTCAGTAAACTGCCATTAAACTAAGTTTTGCTTTCTGGCCCATGCTGCAGACTTTTAAAATGAATTTACAACATTTACAGCATCTGTCCAAGCTGTGAGTGGGTACCTTAAAAATAAATATCTCAAGTCATCTGTAGTGAGCTTTGGTTACAAAGCACAGAAGGATCTTCCCTCTATTGACAGCAGATGATCCAAATATGTCATCTCTTAAATATGCCTTCCAGCATCTTTAAAATTTAATGAAACCAGAAAATTCTCATTAAAATGAATCTTGACTATTTGCACAATCTGGAAACTCAACAAAAATTTCCCCTAAGAGCTGCACTTTAAAAAAAATAAAAAATAGTTTTAGATAACACAGTGACTTAATAATTAATAATACATATGTCATTTGTAAAAGGCCAAATTTCTACAATTTTGCAATTTAGAGTTTCAGGAGCACATAATATAAATGCCATATTTTGTAAATTACGTACAATATAATTACTACTACTGTTTGGTTTCTTCAGGTATGCCTTTGTATTGGGGTGTAAAGATTTGCAATAGCTTTCTTGATCAAGTTAAGAGTTGTATCAACTGTAAAACATGTCACTTCCAACCGTCAACCCTTTTAAGGCAAAGAGGTTAAAGAACAACCTCTGCAAATAATTACCTTCCCTTTGCTTCAATGCAGATATTTTCAGGGACTGGAAACAAAGAGAGGAAGCCCCTGTGTAAGCTCCAAGTCAGGGCCTGAAGCTTACACAGGGCAAAGAACTCTCTTACACAGGGCAAAGAACCACCATGTGACAGCGCTGGGTGCCTTGACAGCCAATCACCAAAACTGTCACATTGGAAGAAGGGGAATGACTCCCATTTTCCCCTATACCCAGAAGTGCTAGGTATTTTTTTTCACTTCTGGCAACTGAATAGAGTAGTAGGATAGGTAAAGCAAGGTAAGCATGTGATACAGCTGGGGCCACCCTTAAATGGAACTGAATTAAAAAAATTCAAATTTGCTATGTTAAAGAGAATATCTAGAAATGTTAATTCTGCCTCAGCAGTACCATGGAAAGCCTACCATTTGTCTAGAAACTCTCCTAAAACATTCCTGAAAATGTCCTTGCATTTGAGTGTAACTATGCAATTCTGTGCCTACAGCTTTATAGCTGTATATCTGCAGTGTGACCTCTGACTGCTGGTCTAAGGAGATTTGTAGTGAGATTTAGTTACATAGTTACATAGTTACATAGTATTTGGGGTTGAACAAAGACATACGTCCATCAAGTCCAACCCATATAGGTCCACGCATCATCTCATTCTTAGGGATACTGGTATCCCTGGATATTACGGTCCCTCAAGAAATTGTCCAAACGTTTCTTGAACAAATCTAAACTCTTGGCTGAAATCACTGCCGATAGCAGTGAGTTCCAGACCTTAACCGCTCTTACTGTAAAGAACCCTCTTCGCCCATTGTGCTGGAATTTTTTCTCCACCAACTTTAGGTGGTGGCCTCTAGTCTTTGTAATGGAGTTAATCTCAACCAGTTTGTTGCCAATGTTGCTGTCACCATTGAACATCTACACTACTCTGCTACTTGCTGTTCTTCTTGCATGGAGGCTGTGACATGAGGAAGAAAAGTCCTGCCTCTACCAAGATGGCTGCCTCAATACAGAGACCAAGTACAGAACAAGACATGGTAAATCAGTAATAGGGGTAAGATCAGATGCAATACTAGTAATAATTCCTTTGCCCCTGCATCATCTCTTTTGGGCACAGCTTAAATAGTTCAGCTCCTTTTTAAAATGAACCTATGTATTTTTCCCTGCACTGAAAAAGCATAGGTTCAATTTAGGGATCACCAGTTTCAAATATTCTTTTGTGTATCTTAGGATACTTAGTGGAGAAGCTAAAAATTCAGATAACATTTATTGAACAAACCTAATAGTTGCCTAAATGATTTCAAGTGCATACACAAGACCATGAAAATCTACCATATATATGACTTATTCTGTAAGTCACTATAATGGTAAAGATAGAGTGATACAGAAAATTAGCTAAATTACCTAGGAATGTCTTGGTGAGTTGATGTAATAGTGGCTGATGTTCTTCCTCCTGGGTTGTCATCCACATTTTGAGAGGTAATTTGCAATCTATATCATCACTTGTCATGACCAGAATACCCATACAACTCAAGATTGAAGGGCTCACATTGGCTAATGTATCCAGCTACAGAGGAAACAAAGAGAAATGGAGTGCATCCTATAAATAATTATATAAATAGCTCCTGATATTAGCTGCAGCTTATTTTATGTGTGTGACCACAGTGCCACCCTCTGTTCAAATACCAGTGCAGGTAAGCTGAATTCATGATACAGTAATATGTGAGAAAATAAAGTATAATTTATAAGCACCCTCCAATGTATAGTCATTGCTTTTAAATAACTTGAATAGTTTATATATTTTAGGAAACATTTAAACATGAAAACAAACGGCATTGATTGGAAAACAAACCTTACATTGATTGGAAATAGAAAATGCAATCTAATTTAATGAATAAAATACTGTAAATATAACCACATGTACATGCTGTGTACCATATAATCACGAGCGATAGTTATTATTATTATTATGCAGGATTTATATAGCGCCAACAATTTGCTCAGCGCTTTACAAAATAGTGGAGACAGTACAGTTACAATACAATTTACAGTACAATACAGTTTCAGAACAATAGGGTTGGGAGGGCCCTGCTCGTGAGAGCTTACAATCTAGTAGGAGGGGCAAGTGATAGAAAAGGTAATAATTGTTTGGAGTGAGTTATTGGAGGAAGTAAAAGCCAGTTATGTTGAGATGAGGTAGGCTTCCCTGATGAGATGGGTTTTTAAGGATCGCCTAAAGGTGGGCAGCGTAGGAGATAGGCGGACAGATTGGGGTAAGGAGTTCCAGAGGATGGGGGACACTCACTGATGATAGTTACCAGTGATCATCAGTGATCGTTTTATTATAATAAAGTTTTGATAACAAGCATAACAGAAATTGTGGCGCATTTTCTTTGCATTTATTCCCTTTCCATGCATTTATTATTTCAATGCATATTTATTTCAGGTGCTACCAGCATCTTAGCAACCAATTACTAATGTCCAGCCCCATTAAGCTGTCAGATAGATTTCCCAGCTGGATGTAAACAAAGGAGTGGGGATGCTGTCACACTATTGTCTAAATATGGACAACATCAACAGCATACCTGTCTCTGTGTTGTCATTGCTAGAGCTGTAATTTGCAGCAAGTTTTCTTTTGTTTTAGCAGGTCAACAGGCATTGTTCATTGATTGATAAACATCTGCATCGCTGGATGGCGTGATTGGATGGATTTTTTTGTTTGTATGTGTGTGTGTGGGGGGGGCATATTTGGTCAGTGGCTTTACCCACGATCCTTCTGTGGTTTGTAGACATTCAGTCACCAGTGGGTATCTGTCAGTTATGGTGGGTGAGCGCTGGGAGCAAGATTGTCATGCACAGTCATCGTGTTTGTGTCATCAGGGCTGTCATTCATAGTGATTGACTATGGATCTACATAGCTGGATGATGTGATTGAGTTGGCTTAACATTGTGACCAAATTAACTGATACAGTGCTGCCATAGCTTATCAACTTCTTAAAATGTTACTTGCTTTGCAGTTATTCTGATCCTCTGGATTTATTACTTAGTCACTCACTAGGTTTTGGCCAGAGATGGACTTTAACCGTAAACAAATATACTGTACAAAACAAACAAACAGACAGCGCCTTGTCCTTGTGTAATACAGTTTAATAATCAATTAACATAAAAGCTGGCATAAAATATTACTCACATGTTAATCACTGAATGAATGGTACAAGGCAGACCCCCACACAAAGCTGCCTTGCTATCTGATGCGTTTCGGGGAATATACCCCCTTCCTCGTGCTCTGAGGAAGGTATATTCCCTGAAGCGCGTCAGCTAGCAAGGCAGCTTTGTGTGGGGTCTACCTTGTACCATTCATTCAGTGATTACCATGTGAGTAATATTTTATGCCAGCTTTTATGATCATTGATTATTAAACTGTATTACACAAGGACAAGGCGCTGTCTGTTTGTTTGTTTTGCATGTTTTGTGAGGAATACTTCCCAGTGGCCTTTTGATGATGGCAGCCTGCAAACGATTGTTGGTGGAGAATATCATTGGGAGTCTGCTGAGCGCTGTGGTGTGCATCTTTTTGGAACATTGTAAAATATACTGTACAGGTCTTCTTCAGGCCAGCATGGTTGTCAGGCATGTACTACATTTTTAGTAGAGTAAGTGAAGGCTAAGTAAGCTTTTTATTACAGTTTGTGCCTCAGATATATGTACCATATATACAGTATATTATAGCTCAATTATATTTAGACAAAAGCTGCAGTGCTTGATTTGCCAGGCTGCATTTAGTCTACAGTCCCAGTTCTGTTGATATATAGGCATCATTACATAACATGTTACAAAATGCCTTGATAGGATGTTAAAGAGATTAAAAAAAGTTTCAGGGACATCATTCTACAATTTCATGGCTTTTTTTTTCAACTGTAGGGATGGCTAGCATACTTCAAAAGCAAAGCAAGGGGTTTGATCTGTTTCAAAAAGGCCCTTGAAGTTCAAAATGCAGTCCTGTGTCTGAAAAAAAGCACCATCCTTTAAGAAAAGTATGTAAGTATTGAAAAAAAAATATAGCATTTTCAAACAATGTTGATTGAAAGCAGTTTTTCAAAACTGTCAGTTCTTCATGCAAACTCAAAGTACTTGAAACAATCTATATGGCAAAACCCTTTAAGTACATCATGCAATGGATAGTACCAGATAGGCCAAAAAAAAACTGCTATAATCACACAAAAGTTTGGAACAGAGGTAAGAAAAATCATCAACAGTTTATTTGTGAGCTAATTATTTCAAGACAATGACTTGCAAATTATCACATTCAACACATTTTGTTATTTAACAACAGGAACACCTGCATCTGCTCAAGATGGTTCAATTAACACGAGGAGGAAACATGGAATGATGCCTTGTGATTATAGTTTCAATTTGTAATGTGTAAATCAAGGAAGAATGATTGAAATAAGCTGTCACAGTTAACGATTTCCTCCTTTTCACTTTTTAAATGAGATGTTTTAGAGTCTTCCATTTTTGGAAAGCTGTAGTACAATAATTCTTTATACAATATTAGCATTTGACGTGCCGATTCCTATGTCAATTTTAAAAGAATATTCTAATAAAAATAAATGGCCATCACTTACCTCCCAAAATATTAGAAGAGACTCAGAGATCCGTATACATTCATTATTTTGAAATGTAAAATATTCTGCCAAAAAATTATAATGGTTTTAGATTTCATATTGGCATAAAGTAGAAAAATTGTACATTATTTTAATTGTAATGGAACTTGAATCCTCTGGCATGTAAAGTGTATGTAAGCCCAAGGACAAATATTAACAGGGTTATTCACAAAAGTGTGAAGAGTTTGGAGTGGGCAGAAGAAGTGAACAATCTAGGCCATAATAGCTGATTTGGAAACAATTCTCCAATTCAGCTATGTTGTCCTAGATTGTTCACTTCTCCGGCCTTCTCCTAACTCTTCACCCTTTTGTGAATAACCCTGTTAATATATTGCAGTTTAGCAATCCTTAGATATGGCAACTACTTTAGTCTCATTATTCCAGACTTCTTTTTCTTTATTTTCAACTGGTGAGTCCCCAGTAATATGTTCTCCCTTAAGGCGACAACACTTCAATGTACATCTATAGGGGAGTAGCACAGTCACCCCAAGCTGCTCCTTCCTAATTAAGACTTTGGGCCGACGAGCTGACAACTGCACATTCAGCCTTAGCACGTAGACAAAGCCTAAGGAGCAGCTGGCCCCACATCATTAGAAGGGGGATGAGCACCACCACATCCAGCGTCATTCAATCCAGGGGTTGCTCCAATTTCGAGGAGGCAAATGGGG